ACGTGCCTGTAATCCCAGCTACTCAGGAGGCTGAGGCAGGAGAATTGCCTGAACCCAGGAGGCGGAGGTTGCGGTGAGCCGAGATCGCGCCATTGCACTCCAGCCTGGGTAACAAGAGCGAAACTCCGTCTCAAAAAAAAAAAAAAAAAAAAAAAAAAGAAATAGCTTGAGCTTTTCCTTTATTTTAACAAGCCACAGGTACATGCGCAGGTTTCTTCCGTGGGTACACTGCCAAATGCTGAGGTTGGGGTGTCTGATCCTATCACCCAGATGGTGAGCATAGAACCCAACAGGCCGTTTCTCAGCCCTTCCCTGCCTTCTCCCTCCCCACGTCTGAGGCCCCAGTGTCCACCGTTCCCATCTTTGTGTCCACGTGTACCCAGTGTTTGGCCCCTACTTATAAATAAGAACAGAGAACATTTGGTTTCCTATTCCTGAGGACAGGACATTTAGATAAAAATCAGTTCTGCTCCTAACAAGCATTTTACTATATGGGTGCTCACCAAAAAGACTCCAGCGCTGACCTGGGAAACACAACCGACTGCCCTGCTAAATGCAGCCTAAAATGCACTTGCTAAATGCAGACTAAACTGTCTTCCACTCCAGAGCAAGGAGAGCTAGAACTGACCACCTCCCGGAGCCACAGGAAACGTCCCACGGAGATGAAGCGTGGCCTCGGCCGAGCCTCCGCCTGTGGCGCCTCTGCTCTCGGAAGATGGTGAAATGGCGCAGGAAATGCCGTCCCGCTTTCCAGACCGCAGTCAAGGGGAGATCCCAGGTCCACGGGCCGTGACCCTCTCGACGGGTCGAGCTGTTTCGCTGTTTCCTGTGGTTTGGCCCAGGCAGCCCCACACACTCCACTGACTTGGGCACAGCATCTGGTCCGACGAGGGCAGACGCGCTTCCCGAGCACATGGCATCTGAGAACCGCCCAGCCCAAGCCGTGCATCAACGGGCCAGTCATGTGGTGTCCACAAGCAACACGGCAGCTTTCGTGGCTGCTGGGAGGAGACAAGACGACGGCGTCCCGGACTGCGCAGCTCAGGCAAGTGGCCTCGGGCCTCCCGCAGCCGCTCCTGAAGGGCACTTCCCGCGGTGCCACCAGGCTGCCTCGGACCGCGCACCCTTCTTCTGCAGTTACTGGCGCCTCGCACCCCACGGGCCATGATGCAAGGCCCTTTCCTCCCCTTTCTGAAGACTCAAATAGACTGAGATTACGGAAACCCACTTTTAAACCTTTTAAAAGTTCAGGATTTTGTGCTCACCAATTCTTTTTTGTTTTTGAGACGGAGTTTCGCTCTTGTGACCCAGGCTGGAGTGCAATGGCGCGATCTCGGCTCACCGCAACCTCCGCCTCCTGGGTTCAGGCAATTCTCCTGCCTCAGCCTCCTGAGTAGCTGGGATTACAGGCACGCGCTACGATGCCCAGCTAATTTTTAGTATTTTTAGTAGAGACGGGGTTTCACCATGTTGACCAGGATGGTCTCGATCTCTTGACCTCGTGATCCACCTGCCTCGTACTCCCAAAGTGCTGGGATTACAGGCTTGAGCCACCGCACCCGGCTATGCTCACCAATTCTTAAACAGGATACATCTTTTTGGTTAAGTTACATAAAAATATTTTGTCTCTCTTGCATACCTTTCCAGACAGTGGGTATGGATGAAGATGGGAAATTCTGTTCTCAAGTTTTGATTACTATATGGGACAAACCAGTAACAGAAAAACAAAACAAAACAGGCACCTGGGAGGCTCAGGGAAAGGGGAAAAATAACAATGATTTTATTTTTCAGACCTGCTCCTAAAAGCTTTCCCCTCCTAAAAAACCAAAACCAAGAACTCCTCACGCTGCCTTTCCACGCATCTGTGGCTGCTCGGCGCACACCTTGGCTTCCTCAAGGTGCTGATGAGCAGAGACGCCGGACTGCCTCTGCTCCTGAGCTTCTGCGCAGACACCTCCAGAGACGTCCCACGCTCTGACAGGTGTGGACTAACAAACTAATACCACGGATCAACAAAACTCACTGCCCAGGCAGGGCCTCTGAAGCCAAGGTCTGATCCCAGTTATCCAGTGGACAGAGACCCTACGGGAAGCCACCTTGGAGCCCTGTGAACCTAACGCCTGAGGCGTGCGCTGCCGCGGTGCCTAACTCTGTGATGTCTTTGTTTCCAGGGGACCACGCGTGCTCACTGGGACTGCACTTAGGACACTGTCTCAGCCTGGGAGACATTCGGGTCACGTGCCGCCTTCTGGCCAGAGCTCTGCTATGCCTGAACGATGCCGCAGGCCAGGTAAAGAAGGGTCACACAGATTCTTCTGGCTCTCTCCAGTGGGATGTAAGGCGTCTTTCCCGGCACGGCGATGGCCGAGGTGACTGCTGAGACCATGATCAGTTCTCCAGGCCCGACCGTCCTTCTTGGTGTGGCTTCATCACGGCCATGGTCTGCTGCTGCCTCAGACGATTTACCTGGTTATTGTCACGGCCCCTCAAAGTCTGACCTATTAGGGTCTATGATGAGGTAGCCTGTTTCACACTTAGGTCCTAAAAAATCAAGGAGTAGAGTCAAGGAGTTCAGCTCCTGGTTAAAACCCTGTAGTGTGCGTTCAGGTGCAAGCAGAGGCAATTACCCAGGCTTCACCTGGCAGGCCTTGGGGGAAAGCTGCCCTCCCCATGGACTTGGCACACGGCCAGCGCACTCTGGTCACTGGGGGAAGCTGCGGTCAAGGGTGGGGATCTCACATTTGCCCTTCTTACCAGGCCTCCTGAGGCCTCTCAGGCGCTTATGCAAGACCTTGCTGTCGGGGTGGGCAAGAACCCTGAAGACACTTTTCCCCACTCTCACTCGGTACCCGGGACTTTTCTACTCTAGCCCCACCCCCGTCCCCACCCCAGGGTCCAAAACAACTGCTGGAGCCTTTTGTTCAGGACTCTCTCAGCTGAGGACAAAGAGGCGATCCTGACATCTGCACTGATGCACCTGGCCCTTTGCCAGAGGCATTCTAACCAAAGCGACTCCACCCTGAGTGAGGGTGAGAAACAGGAGGCTGCGGTTTGCTGGGCTGCATCCCCAGGTGAGGTATCCCGAGCCTCCAGATATTTACAGTTAAAGGAACATATTCATCATGTTTACTAAACAGACCCATGCCCAAGAATGTCCTGATATCCCCATGTCCAGGGCACAAAAGCATTCCTAGTTTACAGTAATTAAGAAAATCCTTTATCACAAACTCTTGTAGCTGAGCACACCTCCCTGTGATTGTTGTTGCCCTACATACACACAAGCGTTGCACCTAGGGTGGGCGCGTTCCTCCTCCTCCTTTCGGAAATGCCCCGCTCTGCCTATGGAGGAGCCATTCTCCATTCCTTCACCGTCTTAATAAACTTGCTTTCACCTTACTAAATGGACTCGCCCTGAATTCTCTCTTGCGTGAGATCCGAGAGCCCTCTCTTGGGGTCTGGCTAGGGACCCTTTTGGGTAATGCCTTAACCAGTGTGCAGATGCTGCAGCTAAGGCCACTGAGTTAAAGGAGCCAGTGAGACCTGCAGGTGTACCAGTGCCCACCACCCCAGTAACAACAAAACTGAGATATAAAACAGAGGAACAACACTGGGCTGCAGGTCAGGGTCTAGTTCACGACCCTTCAAGATTCGAGGTGGGGGAAGTGGAACGAGGGAGTCAGCACTTTCCCGGCTCTAGGCTCTTGCTTCCACCATACCAGTAAAGTGATTGAGGTTCCACTGTGACTTTCACTTCGGCTATGTTAACTGACTTAACATCCAGAGGCTTGGCACCCTCTCTTACTTCAGCCCAGCTCCTGGCGTAGGACTAAACGTCAAAAAAAGAAAATATCAGCAAGAAAGGAAAGAAGGCAGGGAAAGGGTGAGGGGGAGAGGCTAGCTAGGTGGTAAGAATTCCTCCGAAAGGTGAGGAGACAGCAGTCTGTTTCTTGAGTCAATGAAGTCTGGAAACAGGGCTGAATGCGGATCCTTGCACGCCACGCCTTTGCCAACTGAGGCGGCGTGTCTACCCAAAACACGTCAAAATTCCAGTGGAGAGAATATTCATGGGGCCATTTGAAGGTTTTGTAATGATCAATTCTGACAGATGATTTAAGTTTCTTTCCTAAAACTGGAATCTAGGTAGGAAGTGCACTCAAGACCCTGTCTCAGTTCTCAAAGAAACTGTGTCCTGAATTCTTTGGATTCATGCCTTTTGCTGACATTGAGGAGCTTCAAGAAATAGTCCTAGGAAACATTTATTACAAGGCTGCTATTTAGGATCTTAGGAGTATGCCATCTACATCAATAATTATCAAAACATTTTCTTTATGGGTAATTAGCAGGAAATACTTGCTTCTCCAGAGTTAACTGGTCTGCTTTTTCCTTTTGACAGAGGAAATCATGTTAATTATTCCCACTTCCCTCTCTGTTATCGCTTCTGGTAATAAAAGAAAAGCCTGCAGTTCAACTCTGTAACAAGGAAGGGTCCTATTTCTTAGTGATCTGTTCCAACTGTAAGACTTTCGCGCGCGTGTGTGTGTGTGTGTGTGTTTTGAGACAGAGTCTCACTCTGCACCCTGGCTGGAGTGCACTGGTGCAAACTCAGCTCACTGCAACCTCCACCCCCGGGGTTCAAGTGATTGTCATGCCTCAGCCTCCCAAGTAGCTGGGATTACTGGTATGGGCCACCACACCCAGCTAATTTTTGTATTTTTAGCAGAGACAAGGTTTCACCATGTTGGCCAGGCTGGTCTTTAACTCCTGGCCTTAAGTGAGTGATCCGCTTGCCTCGGCCTCCTGGGCTGGGATTACAGGCATGAGCCACTGTGCCCAGGTGAAACTTTTGCATGATTCTATAATCTACTTTGTGCTTCTTTTGACATCGTCTTTCCCAAGTTTACATTTTCTCTTATTTGAATGTATTTAGACCCTCTGTTTGTTGCAAAGATTTCTGTAAGCCTCATCACAGCCACAAAACAGAGGATAAACAAGTAACTCGCCTGTGACTGGATCATTTTCTGCTGCTCCTGGGAAATCTGCTGCTCTGTGACTTCTCTTAGTCCTCACACCCTGGAGGGGCCTCCGGTCAGTGGTCTGTAAACAGAATCCATCCTTGGTCTTGTCCTCTTCTTTCTTATTTCACATGAAGTGTCTTGTTCCTGAGGGCTATTGCCTGTAGATGCAGTGGACATTTTAGATGATCTAATTAATTTGGGAACGTAAATCTTGGTTTTCTCTTGCTAGGAGCTCTGATTGTTTAAAGCCTCAAACTAGATGTTGGGTAGACCCACATCAGGGCTAGCAGGTAAGAAACAGGGTGGGTCTCAATTGGGTCTGCCCAGCATCTAGGCCAGGTCTGCACCACACGCTGAACTGAACAGCCCTGGGTCCCAGCCAAAAATGCCAGATTGAAACCACTCACCTGGCTGGCTCAAGCAAACACCTCAAGGAGCACCACTACACCAAACTGCTCAGCACACACATCGTGAAGCTCTGGAGATGAATGAGTGCTTATTCATTCTGCAGCAGTAATTCCTGGAGGCACCTAAATCAAATTATTTGTGTTAAGTGCAACAGAGTAAAATGCAACTTATTTCTAGGCAGAAGGGTAAACAGAAAACAGCCGTTAGATGGAGAATCAGCCTTTGGCGAATCAGCCTGGGGTTCTGGCTCTCTACCCCCAAATTAGCCCAGGAACAAAAGGAAAACATAGATCAGAGGAACTAATTTAAGAGTAAAACAAGAAAAAGGCAAAGAGACATCCCTGGGCAGACGCAAGCTGGGTGAAGTTCATGCGCGGGTTTGAGGCTGAGCAGGGCCTGGCTGCGGCCTGCAGCAGATGGGAGCCAGAGAGGCAGCAAGTCTGAAGGCTGGGAACGTCTTACGCTGCCCCTTCCTAGTTCACTCTGGGACAGATTCCGCCTGCACTTTCCTTCAGAAATCAGCAGTAACAGCCCAGGTCATAGGTTTCCAAGGAGTACCTGAGGCAGAACCCAATCCCTGCAGAAGTGAGGAATCACGGAGGTGGTAAGGGCCGCAGCCATCTTTGGGTGTTTTCTGACCTACCTACCTCCAGCATCCCAGGACGGGGAGCTGTGGGAGTGGCAACTCATGAGCTGCCAGGAAGGGGCAGCACACAGCCAGAAGCGGGCACGATTCCGAGGTCTCCCTCACCCCGGCCCCGGGACGCTCCTCTGCTTCAACTCATCAGAAGCTTCAGAGGCTAAAGCCTGGCCTTTAGCCCGTCCCTAATGCCATTTCCAGACTGTGAAAGAGCAGCTGACATTCGGAGGGGAATGAGAGCTCACAGGTCTGGAAGGGCAAATCTAGATTTAAAAGGAGGAAAAAAACCCTAATTTTCTCTCATGTGAAAATGAGAAACAGATTTATGACCCTGCTTTTTTTTTTTTTTTTTTTTAGGCAGGGTCTTACTCTGTCACCCAGGCTGGAGTGCAGTGGCATGATCTTGGCTCACCGCAGCCTCGACCTTCCTGGGCTCAGGGGATTCTCCCACCTCAGCCTCCTGAGTAGCTGGGACTACGGGTGTGCGCCACCATACCAGATAATTTTTGTATTTTTTGTAGAGATGGGGTTTTGCCATGTTGCCCGGGCTGGCCTTGAACTCCTGGGCTCAAGTGATCCACTGGCCTTGGCCTCCCAAAGTTAGGACTATAGGTGTGAGCCACCGTGTCCAGCCTGGTTTAATTTTTATTCAATAATAAAACTGTTTTTCTTATTTTCAGCTTCCATGGAGAGGTCTTCTGGGTTGCCAGATTTTGGGTTTATTTCCTCAACAGTCCAAATAATCAGATAACTAAGTATAACCATTATTTTTCTTTTTTTCCCCTATTTCTTTAGCTGAAAAGTACAACCATTATTTTAAAAACTTTTTCAAAGACCATAAACTGCACAAAAGGTATCATCTCATCTTAGCAGAAGATGGAAAAGACTGACTGAGGTTTAAAATCAGCATCATAAACTCAAAAAGTACTACATCCTGGTGCACATGAATGCTTACACTTCAAATTTCTTCACTGCCCATGAGCCAGGCCACTTACAGTTTGCCACACATGGAATCAGAGCCAAAGACATGCACAGACATGTACACACACTGATACGCTGATGCACATGTACATCACACATACACACACGTACTTACACACTGATACATGCATCACATTCACACTCAAACTTATGTACACACACTCATACGGATAAGTACATCACATACATACACACAGACATGCACACACACTGATGCATACATATATCACATACACAGACATGCACACACACTGACGTACATGTACATCACATACACACACTCACACTGATACACACAGATGCACACATACATCATACATACATGTACACAGACACATCACACATGCATACACTCAAACATACACACTCATACACACACACTTATGCACATGCACACATACATCACACACTTATGCATACATCACATATACTCATACACACACACCCACACACATACTTGTACACATACAGACAACACTCAAATATACATACATACTCATACACACACATACACATTCATACACACATCACACAAATTCAGACACATAGGTATATCACACATACACATTCCCACGCATACATACACCTCACATTTTCACACACATACATACATCACGTACATACATGTTCACACACATATCACATACACACTTTACATGCATCACACACATCACATACACAGTCTCATTTACATGCTAGGAAAGCAGCATTTGTTGAATTCCTACACACCGGGCACTGTTCTGAGCACATGTGAAAGACAATTAAACAAGGTGTACAGGGTCTCTGCCCTCTAGGGAAACATAACCAAGTAAATAAATGATTTCTGTGCCAGGCGCGGTGGCTCACGACTGTGATCCCAGCACTTTGGGAGGCTGAGGCGGGCAGATCATGAGGTCAGGAGCTGGAGACCAGCCTGGCTAACACAGTGAAACCCCATCTCTACTAAAAACACAGAACATTAGCCAGGCGTGGTGGCATGCACTTGTAATCCCAGCTTGAACCCAAGAGGCATAGGTTGCAGTGAGCCGAGATTGCACCACCACGCTCTAGTCTGGAGACAGACTAGAGACTCTAGTCGGGAGACAGAGTGAGACTCTGTATCAAAACAAACAAACAAACAAATGATTTCTGACTGTGAGCACGCAGAAGATATTTATTTATTTATTTAATTTTTTTTTTTTTTTTTTTTTGAGACGGAGTTTCGCTCTTGTTACCCAGGCTGGAGTGCAATGGCGCGATCTCGGCTCACCGCAACCTCCGCCTCCTGGGTTCAGGCAATTCTCCTGCCTCAGCCTCCTGAGTAGCTGGGATTACAGGCATGTGCCACCATGCCCAGCTAATTTTTTGTATTTTTAGTAGAGACGGGGTTTCACCATGTTGACCAGGATGGTCTCGATCTCTTGACCTTGGGATCCACCCGCCTCGGCCTCCCAAAGTGCTGGGATTACAGGCTTGAGCCACGCGTCCGGCCAATTTTTTGTATTTTTAGTAGAGACGGGGTTTCACCATGTTGACCAGGATGGTCTCGATCTCTTGACCTTGTGATCCACCCGCCTCAGCCTCCCAAAGTGCTGGGATTACAGGCTTGAGCCACCGCGCCCGGCTGATTCAGAAGAAATATTAACTGTGGGCAGGCGCAGTGGCTCACGCCTGTAATCCCAGCACTTTGGGAGGCCAAGGCAGCAGGTGGATCACTTGAGATCAGGAGTTTGACACCAGCCTGGCCAACATGGTGAAACCCCGTCTCCACTGATGCAAAAAAATTAGCCAGGCATGGTGGTCGCTGCCTGTTATCCCAGCTACTCAGGAGGCTGAGACACGAGAACTGCTGGAAGCTGGGAGGTGGAGGTTGCAGTGAGCTGAGTTCACGCCACTGCACTCTAGCCTGGGCAACAGAGTGAGACTCTGCCTGCAAAGCTCTTGGGTAGGGGAGCAGAGGCCACTGGGAGGATGGAACAGGGCCATGAGGTACAACAGCAAGGGGGAAATTCTAGAAGGGGAAGACTTTAAAGCCAATAGGTCACTGAGAACTTTTGAAAAAGGAAATAATCATGTAAAAAGAGCAGTCACTGATCAGCGGCCACATGCTACAAGGAGCAGCCAAAGCGAAAAAAGACTTGTCTCACGAGAGGCTTGCCTGAGCCAAGCCACGAGCCACATGCATTCAGATCTGCTTCCAGACCCACCAACGCGGCCCTCACAAGACCCTCAATTACCAAGTCCCAGAGAGGGCCTCACACCCCTCTGCCCCAGACACGAATGCCTGAGCTCTGCAGCTACAAGCCCAGGCTAACCTCCAGGTTTCCAAGGCCCCTGGTCACTCAGGGTGACCACCCAAGAATTCTCCAGCTCCACATGCCAAGACCTCCCCAGGCCACTGAATCTAGTAGGTCTGCTTCAGACCTCCAGACCACACAACCACTGAACCCATAAACTCCACCAGCACTGACCCCATGTGCCCCATCACATGAACCACAACGACTGACTTCATAGGCCACCCAGTCTCTCTCCCCAAGAGGCCACCCCTCCAGGGCCGGCAATGACACACACTACAGGTTCCCCAGTGACCGTCCACAAAGCCCCCAGTCAGTAACTCTAGTGGCCTCACAATAGCCAGCCTCCAGAAACACCTGACCACTGACTGCACAGACTGGAACACTATTGGCTACCAGACCGCCAATCGCGATACCCAAAAGCCACTGACTTCTTTTTTTCTTTTTTTGAGACAGAGTCTCACTCTGTCGCCAGGCTGGAGTGCAGTGGCACGATCTCAGCTCACTGCAACCTGAACTTTCTGGGTTCAAGCAATTCTCCTGCCTTAGCCTCCTGAGTAGCTGGGATTACAGGTGTGCATCACCATGCCCAGCTAATTTTTGTATTTTTACTAAAGATGGGGTTTCACCATGTTGGTCAGGCTGGTCTGGAACTCTTGACCTTGAGATCCACCTGCCTTGGACTCCCAAAGTTCTGGCATTACAGGCATGAGCCACCGCGCCTGGCTTTAGGATTTTGAGACAGAGTTTTGCTCTGTCCCCAGGCTGGAGTGCAGTGGCCTGATCTTGGCTCATTGCAACTTGAGACTCACAGGTTCAAGCTATTCTCCTGCCTCAGCGTCCTGAGTAGCTAAGATTACAGGCACGCACCTCCACGTCCACCCAAGGCCACTAACTTCCAACTCCACAATCATTTACCAAAACGGCAAACAAGCCATTAGGTCCCCCAGGCTTCCCTCTCACGGACACCCACAGGCTCCCCAAGTTCTCACCATCACTGACCGCACCATCAATCGCAGACGTTTGCAGGCATGCTTGGCATTCATCCCAAATATCAAACTCCCAAACCCTACGAACGTTCCTCCTCACAGACCTCACTGTCTGCGCCACCAGCCTTCCAGGAATCTCTGGTACCCAGCCACTAACGCAAACAAGCTCCTTCTCACCTGGTTCTAACACCCTCAGGTAACAAAGCCAATGCCCAGGGCGCGAGACAATAAAACCGTCCCCCATTCCACGATGGGCACCGGACCCTTTATTCCTAATCCCGCACAGGCCCCCAAACACTTACCCTACGTCACACCACAGACCCCATGGGCCCGGCGGGGTCGTCCCTACAGGCCCCAGCTGACTCCTGGCCCCCAGCGACTCTCCCACGTGTTTTAAATACAGATGCCCAAACCCGCAGACTGAAACCCCCAAACGCAGAGTCCCAAAGGACCCCACAGAACTGCAGCCCCTCCTGCAGGTGAGGGGAAGGGACGGAGAAGGGGCTCCTGTCCCGGGAAGAGCACACCCACTCTCCATCACCCACAGGGCAGAGCCCCGCGGAACCCCCAGCGTTCGCCCCGCGGCCGCCAGCGCTCAGAGCGCGAATCGCTGCAGACGAACCCTCGCGGCCTCCCGGGACCCCCTCTCCCCTCGGGCCGAGGCCACTTCGCGTCCCCTTGCCCCGCCCGTGCTGCACCCCGAGTCTACAGCGACGCCCCCTAAGCCCCCACTGAACCGCCCAGCGGACCCCAAACGTCCCCTACACCCACACTCGGGGCGCGCCGCCCCCCGCCCCCAGCCCCCAGCCCCCAGCCCCAGCCCCGCGCGCCCCACGGCGCCCGCCCGAGGCCCGTCCGCGCATGCGCCCAGGCCGCCCCGCAGGCCTTTCTCGCCCCGGCAGTCAGCCAGCTCCTGCGCGCTGGGGTCATCGCGAGCCGGTCCGCAGAGGGGTCACCGCGACCCCCGGCGCGGACACAGAGGCCGCCCTCAGCCCCGCTGCCTCGTCGTCCCCCCACTCCCCCGCTGCACCGTCCCTTACCCCTCAGACGTCGCAGTGCCGAGGCGGATACGGGCCGACTGCGGAAGTGAACGAGCAGAACTACATTTCCCAGAGTCCTTCTCGCGCTGGAACTACACTTCCCGGGGGACCGCGGGGCACCCGCCGGGGGCGCGGATGGCAGGTTTCCGGTTGGAAAAGCCCCCGGGCGGCGACCTGGCGAGGACCGAAGAAATGGCGGACGGAGCCGCACTGCTGGCCGGCATGTCTGTGAGCGGACGTAAAGGTGCCTCAGGAGGAGACGGCTGCATCTTTTCCTGGCTGCTTGCTTTTTTGAGGCAGGGTCTCGCGCTGTCACCCAGCAGGGAGGGCGGTGGTGCGATCCCCACTCACTGCAGCCTCAGCCTGGTCCTCCTGCCCCAGCCTCCCCAGGTGCTGGAATTACAGGCACGTCCGGCTTCTTTTACATTTTTTTTTTATCGTGGCTGTAAGTAATATGGGTAAATTTTAGTACATCTAATCCAGCAGTATTGAACAACAGGAAGGAAAATAAACCAGATGAGGACGTTAGAGGGAAATAAAATATATTTATGGATGTTTAAAGCAGGGGCTTGGTCCCAGCTACTGGAGGCTGAGGCGGGAGGATCGCCTGAGCCTCGGAGGTTGAGGCTGCAGTGAGCTTTGATGGCACCACTGCACTCCAACCGGGGCCACAGAGGGAGACACCTTCTTTTAAAGGAATTTGTTGGCCGGGCCTGTGGTTCACACTTGTAATCCCAGCTCTTTGGGAGGCCAAGACAGGCCGATCATCTGAGGTCAGGAGTCCATAGACCAGCCTGGCCAACACGGTGAAACCCTGTCTTTACTAAGAAATAAAAAAATTAGCTGGGTGTGGTGGTGGGCACCTGTAATTCCAGCTACTTGGGAGGCTAAGGCAGGAAGAATTGCTTGAACCCAGAGGCAGAGGTTGCTGTGAGCCCAGATCGTGCTATTGTACTCCAGCCAGGATGAAAGAGCAAGATTTTGTCTCAAAAAAAAAAATTTTTTTTTTTTTTTTGACCAGGAACAGTGGCTCATACTTGTAATCCCAGCTACTTGGGAGATTGAGGCAGGAGAATCACTTGAACCCAGGAGGCGGAGCTTGCAGTGAGCCGAGATCATGCCGTTGCACTCCAGCCTGGGCAGCAGAGTGAGACTCTATCTCAAAAAATAAAATCTGTGTTTCCCAGGCAGCTATCCTGAAACTTTATACTTGAGTAAACTCTCTTCAAACTTGATTCTGACCTTTGTGATTACTTTAGGCTGACATTTTGGTGACCATGAAGGGACCCAAAGCAAGTCTCTAGTTATCCCTGACATTTTGCCAACAATAAGAGCCTTAGTGCTGTGGGAAGTCGAAAAGTTCCTTTTTAAAGTTTCCTTTCTTGTTAAGAATAACTGTGCTAGTAGCTCTTTGTTATTCTATGTAGCTATTAGACAAGCTTACAGGCACGTAGTACATTCTGTGTCCTTGTACTTTAACCAAGATATCTGTGCTGGACGTGCTCACAGGCATGTCCCAGCTATCTATTGCTTTTACCTGTTTAGAAAAGTTTTAAGTTGTTAACCAATCGGGTTTTAGTTTAAATTGTGAGGTCTGGCTCCAGCCAATGGAGATTAGACACAGCAGGAAGGACGACTCCAAAATGCGTATGGGATAAATGAGTCTGCTTGCCTTTGTTTATTGTACTGTTGTGGCAAGATGGCTGGTGAGGGTACCCTTCCTGCAGTCCAGGAAGTAAAAATTGCATTGCTGAAATATCCTTTGTCTCAGTGCTGATTTTTCTTTGTGGCACCAAGCATCTATTTCTAACAGGAAAGATATGAACATTTATGTGCAAGAAGCTCAAAAGTCTCTCAGCAGGTAAGAAAATCACACCAAGACATACTATAATCAAACCATCAAAAATCAGACAGGCAAGGCATGGTGGCTCATGCCTGTATTCTCAACACCGTGGGAGGCTGAGGCAGAAGAATCACTTGAGCCCAGGAGTTAGAGGCCAGCCTGAGCAACACAGTGAGACCATGTCTCCACACAAAACAGTGAGCCAGATGTGATGGCATGTGCCTGTAGTGCCAGCTAATTGGGAGGTTGAGGTGATAGGATCACTTGAGCCCATGATGTTGAGGCTGCAGTGAGCCATGATCTTGCCACTGCACTTTCATCTGGGTGACAGAGCAGTCCCTACTTCCAAAAAAAAAAAAAAAAAAAAAAAAAAAAAGAAAAGAAAAGAAAAAGAAAAAAGTTAAAGGCAAAGAATACCTTGAAAGTAGCAAGAGAAAATGACTAAGGATTATCAGTGGATTTCTCAGCAGAAACTTTGTAGGCTAGGAGAGAGTGGGATGATATTTTCCAAGTGCTGAAAGAAAACAACACTGCTAATCAAGAATACTTTACCCGGGCCGGGCCCGGTGGCTCACGCCTGTAATCCCAGCACTTTGGGAGGCCGCGGCGGGTGGATCACAAGGTCAAGAGATCGAGACCATCCTGGTCAACATGGTGAAACCCCGTCTCTACTAAAAATACAAAACATTAGCTGAGCATGGTGGCGCGCACCTGTAATCCCAGCTACTCAGGAGGCTGAGGCAGGAGAATTGCCTGAACCCAGGAGGCGGAGGTTGCGGTGAGCCAAGATCGCACCATTGCACTCCAGCCTGGGTAACAAGAGCGAAACTCATCTCAAAAAAAAAAAAAAAAGAGTACTTTACCCCTAAAGCTGTCCTTCAGAAATGAAAGAAAGATTTGCCCAAACAAAAGCTGAGGGAGTACATCACCACTAGGCCTGCTTTACTAGAAATGCTAAAGTGTGTTCTTTAAACTGAAGTGAAAAGTTAACATGAAAACATGAAAGTATAAAACTAACTAGTAAAAGTATACAGTCATATTCAGAATACTCTAATGCTATGATGATGATGATGTGTAAATTGATTATATTTCTAGTATAAAGATTAAAAGACAAAACTATTTTGTTTTTTTTTGAGAGAGAGTGTTGCTCTTACTGCCCAGGCTGGAGTGCAGTGGTGTGATCTCAGTTCACTGAAACCTCTGTCTCCTGGGTTCAAGCAATTCTGCCTTATCCTCCCAAGTAGCTGGGATTACAGGTGCCTGCCACCACGCCCAGCTAATTTTTTTGTATTTTTAGTAGAGAAAGGGTTTCCCTGTGTTGGTCAGGCTGGTCTCAAACTCCTGATCTCAAGTGATCCACTCACCTGGGCTTTCCAAAGTGCTGGGATTACAGGTGTGAACCACCATGCCCGGCCGATGAAACTAATAAAAATAACTATAGCTAAAACCATTTGTTAGTAGATACACAATGTAAAAAGATGTAAATTGTGGCTAGGCACAGTGGCTAACGCTTGTAGTCCCAGCACTGTGGGAGAACGAGACAGGCAGATCACCTGAAGTTAGGAGTTTGAGAACAGCCTGGACAACATGGTGAAATCCTGTGTCTACTAAAAGTACAAAAATTAGCCGGGCATGGTGGCAGTGTGTATAATCCCAGCTACTCAGGAGGCTGAGAAGGGAGGTAGAATTTGCAGTGAGCCGAGATTGTGTCCTTGCACTCCAGCTTGGGCAACAAGAGTAAAACTCCATCTCAAAAAAAAAAAAAACCGTCAACTGAACACAAAAGAAGACAGCAATGCAGGAAATTAGAGATATAAAAGATTATAAGCCACTTCAAAAACAAAGCAAAATGACAGAAATATCTTCCTCATTAGTAGTTAATTTAAATGTAAATGATTAAATTTTTCAAAAAGACTTACATTTGAAGATTGAATAAAAATACATAGTTCAGCCAGGTGCGGTGGCTCAAGCCTGTAATCCCAGCACTTTGGGAGACCGAGGCGGGTGGATCACGAGGTCAAGAGATCGAGACCATCCTGGTCAACATGGTAAAACCCCATCTCTACTAAAAATACAAAAAATTAGCTGGGCATGGTGGTGTGCGCCTGTAATCCCAGCTACTCAGGAGGCTGAGGCAGGAGAATCACTTGAACCCGGGAGGCGGAGGTTGCGGTGAGCAGGGATGGCGCCACTGCACTCCAACCAGGCGACAGAGTGAGATTCTGTCTTAAAAAAAAAAAAAACAAATTGGTCCGGGCGCAGGTGGCTCACGCCTATAATCCCAGCACTTCGGGAGGCCCAGGCGGGTGGATCACGAGGTCAAGAGATGGAGACCAACCTGGTCAACAAGGTGAAACCCCATCTCTACTAAAATTACAAAAAATTAGCTGGGCATGGTGGAGCGTGCCTGTAATCTCAGCTACTCAGGAGGCTGAGGCAGGAGAATTGCCTGAACCCAGGAGGCGGAGGTTGCGGTGAGCCGAGATCGCGCCATTGCACTCCAGCCTGGGTAACAAGAGCGAAACTCCGTCTCAAAAAAAAAAAAAAAAAAAAAAAAAAAAGAATTTTTGTGTCTATGTCTACGGTGTTACACAGCATAGGAATGTGGGTGTGTGGTTTTACTTGTTTTTCCCTTGTGATGTTTGTCTGGCTCTGGTATGAGAATAATACCAGTTTCATAGAATAAGTTGGAAAGTATTCCCTCTCATCTATTTTCTCAAAGAATTTCTGAAGAATTATCCTTTCCTCTTTAAATACTTGATGGAACTCACTAGAGGAGCCATCCACTCCCAGATTTTCTCTGTGGGAAATTTTTTTTTTTTTTTTTTTTTTTTTTTTTTTTTTGAGACAGAGTTTCGCTCTTGTTACCCAGGCTGGAGTGCAATGGCGCGATCTCGGCTCACCGCAACCTCCGCCTCCTGGGTTCAGGCAATTCTCCTGCCTCAGCTTCCTGAGTAGCTGGGTTTACAGGCACGCGCCACCATGCCCAGCTGATTTTTTTTAAATTTTTAGTAGAGACGGGGTTTCACCATGTTGAACAGGATGGTCTCGATCTCTTGACCTCGTGATCCACCCGCCTCGGCCTCCCAAAGTGCTGGGATTACAGGCTTGAGCCACCGCGCCCGGCCCCTGGAAAATTTTTAATTAATTTCTTTTTTTTGAGACAGGTTTCATTCTGTTGCCCAGACTGGAATGCAGTGGTGGGATCATGGCTCACTGCAGCCTCAACCTCTCTGGATCAAGAATTCCTTCTGCCTCAGCCTCCCAAGTAGCTGGGATTATAGGTGTATGCCACCATACTTGGCTAATTTTTTAACATTTCAAATTATCATGAGTATATAGTAGGTGTATACATTTATGGATTACATGAGATATTTTGATATGAAATGCATATTATAATGCAGTGTTGGAAACAGATGCTTGGTGCTGCAAAGAAAAATCAGCACTGGAACAAAGAATCTCTCAGCAAGGCAATTTTACTTTCTGCAGAAAGGATGCTATCCATCAGCAATCTTGCCATGAAAGCACACTGAACAAAGGAAAGGCAGGAATATTTATCCTTTAGGCATTGGGTCCTCACTGCTGTGTCCTATTTCCAGTGGTTGGAGCTGGACCTCACAGTCTAAGCTAAACTTGATTGGTTGATAACTTAAAACTTTCTTCAATAGGTAAAGGTGATGGAGAACAAAAGGAAAAGAGGAAGTTGCTTGTGAAAGGACTTAGAAAAGTAGTAACATTTTCAAATAAGGAAGGGGCATAGGCTGTGAGCTGGGATGTGCCTGTAAACATGTCCAGCACAAATATCTTTGTTAAAGCACAAGGACATAGAATGTACTACATGCCTGTGAGCATGTCCAGCACAAATATCTTGGTTAAAGTACAAGGATATAGAACATACTTATTCCCTTATATTTAATAGCTACATAGGATAGGACTTAATAAAGAGTTACTAGCAAAAAGCAAGAAGGCTTTGAAGAAAGACTTTAAAAGAAACTATTATTTCTAACATTGATTATTATTCTTTAACAAGAAGGGAAACTTTGAAGAGGAACATTTTACTATCTATAAATGATTATTGCAATGCATAAAAATGACATCGGGAAAATGGCGTATCTTCCAGCAGCTATCCTTTGTGCTACAAGCAATCCAATTATACTTTTAGTTATTTTTAAATGTATAATTAAATTATCCTGTTGTGCAAGAAAATACTAGGTCTAGGTCTTATTCTTTCAATATTTCTACCCATTGACCATTCCCATCCCCCCCAGTCTCCCACTACCCTTCCCAGCTTCTGGTAACTATCTTTCTACTTTCTTTCACGATGAGTTCAATTGTTTTAATTTTTGGTGCCCACAAATAAGTGAGAATATATGAAGTTTGTCTTTCTGTGCCTCCCTTATCTCACTTAATATAATGCTCTCCAGTTCCATCCATGTTGTTGCAAATATGGCTTCCTAGTACTCCATTGTGTATATGTACCACATTTTCTTTATTTGTTAATATGTTGATTGACACTTTGGTTTACTTCCAAATCTTGGCTATTGTGAATAGCGCTGCAATAAACATGGGGGTGCAGATAGCTCTTCGATATACTGATTTTCTTTCTTTTGGGTATATACCTAGGAGTGGGATTTCTAGATTGTATGGTAGCTCTATTTTTATTTATTTATTTTTGATTTTTTTTGAGACAGAGCCTCACTCTGTTGCCCAGGCTGGAGTGCAGTGGCGTGATCATGGCCCACTACAACCTCTGCCTCCTGGGTTCAGGCAGTTCTCCTGCCTCAGCCTCCTGAATAGCTAGGAATACAGGTGCATGTCACCATGCCCAGCTAATGTTTGTATTTTTAGTAGAGACGGGGTTTCACCATACTTGCCAGGCTGCTCTTGAACTCCTGACTTCATGATCCACCCACCTTGGCCTTCCAAAGTGCTGGGATTACAGGTGTAAGCCACTGAGCCTGGCTCTATTTTTTATTTTTTTGAGGACCTCTAAACTGTTCTCCATAATGGTCGCACTAATTTACAATCCCACCGAGAGTGTACAGGGGTTCCCTTTTCTCCATATCCTCACCAGCATTTATTATTGCATGTCTTTTGGATAAAAGTCATTTTACTGGGGTAAGAAATCGCATTGTAGTTTTGATTTGCATTTCTCTGATGATCAGTGAGGTTCAGTGCCTTTTCATATACCTGTTTGCTATTTGCATGTCTTCTTTTGAGAAATGTCTATTCAGATGTTTGGCACTTTTTTTTTTTTTTTTTGAGACAGGGTTTCACTTCTGTCATCCAGGCTGGCGTGCAATGGTGCAATCTCGGTTCCCTGCAACCTCCGCCACATGGGCTCAAGCAATTCTGCTGCCGTAGCCTCCCAAGTAGCTGAAATTACAGATGCAGGCCACGTATGTGGCTAACTTTTGATATGTTTTGTAGAGAGGAGGTTTTGCCCTGTTGCCCAGGCTGGTCTCCAACTCCTGGGCTCAAGCGATCCACCCACCTCAGCATTCCAAAGTGCTGATACAGACGTGAGCCACCACGCCTGGCCATTTTGCACATTTTTTTTTTTTTTTTGAGTCGGCGTTTCGCTCGTTACCCAGGCTGGAGTGCAATGGCGCATTTTCGGCTCACCGCAACCTCTGCCTCCTGGGTTCAAGCAATTCTCCTGTCTCAGCCTCCCAAGTAGCTGGGATTACAGGCATGTGCCACCACGTCCGGCTAATTTTTTGCATTTTTAGTAGAGACGGGGTTTCACCATGTTGGCCAAGATGGTCTCGATCTCTTGACCTGGTGATCCACCCTCCTCGGCCTCCCTAAAGTGCTGGGATTACAGGCGTGAGCCACCACGTCCGGCCCCATTTTGCACATTTTTAAATCTCAAAAGGCTAATCTACAATAGCGGTATGATTTGTGGGACTAATTGGGGAGGCTGTATATGTTGTGACCAATCTACACCTTAGCAGAATTCAGGCTTCTCTCCTCCCTCGAGCCTGGTTGTCTCTCACAGGTTTTACAAAGACAGAAAAGGGCTGTCATTTAAACTATAATCTAAATGTCTTCCAAAGTTAGCTTGGCCTGAGCCCAGGAGTAACTAAGGCAACTTGAAAGCCAAAGGCGCGCGCGGTCGGGGTTGGGCTGGATTAAGACCTGCCCCTCTGCTGTGATTTTTCTCACTGATAGGCATGTTCGCAAAGGCAGTTTCATTGTTGGTATGGTTCTATTTATCTCTAACATCTATAGTTTCCCCTTTATGAAGCTGGTTACTCTATTATTTGGTGTACTGATACTCAAAATTGTTACAAAACCTTATGAACTGCAGCTTATAGCTTGACAAAGCGTCCTTTCTTGCTGTGCCTTCTGGTCTGAACCTACCTCGTTTGGTATCAAGACCTCGGCACAACCTGAGTGTCTGCTGGGGTCGGGCTGAGTCAGTTCTCCAGGGCCTGGGAAACTGTGAGTCCGGGCTCCGCGGGTGGTACCGAACCTGGCGCAGCCGGGGGAGGGCGGACCCGGTGCCGCTGGCGGAGCCCCCTCCCGGCCTTCGGTTCTCGCCAGGCTGTGCCCACTCTAGATCCGCCGCAGCTGCAAGCCAGCCCGTGACAGGGGAACCTTCTCGGAGGATTGTGGGAGACGTAGTTTTTCCGGCGCCTCGAGGCATGACGCACTTCCGCGTGCGCCGCACTCCCGGCCTCAGTCGGATGCGCCAGTGCAGGGCTGTTTCCGGCTCCGATTCCGTGGACCGGAGTCTGGCCAGCGGGTGCACCTGCCTGAGTGTCTGTGGCCGCCGAGTCGCGGAGCTGAGCGGCTTGGATTCTCCTGGGCAGACCGGGGACTTGACCAGCTCATCGGGGGCGTAGACGGAGCCGGGACAGACGCCTGCTCTTTCGAATCGGGGCCGCGCCGCGGCACAGATCCATCGGCGCGACTCCTGGTGCCCAGACCTGGGGGCTGTCCAGCCACGCGCGGGCCGCGTCGGGCGAGAGCTGAGGAGCCGGCGTCCCTGCGAGGGACTCGGCCCCGGGACGGTCAGGTGTCGGCGGCCCGGGGCCCGCAGCTGTCCGCGGGCGGACGCGTCCCGCCAGGTCTCTGGCCGCGCACGGCCGTGGGCGTGGGGATGGCCGCCGGTTTCCGGATAGCTTCGTGGTGGGTAAGTAGAGACTTTGAGTGTTCGAAGGCGATTGGACACCACGGGTGGCCACGTTCGTGTCTTCGGGGTTCCTCCGGGAACCGAACTCACGCCCTCCCCCAAGCTGTGGTCCTCCAGAAACGTGCCTCGTGGTATTCTGCGACGGGCAGTTACACGGGGCTCCGCTGCCCGCTGCGGGCCCTGAGGGCGTTTCGTGTTTTCTGCAGAAAGTTGTCTCATGCAGACCCTTAGAACTTCGCTGGAGAAATTATCTTTTTTATCCCTTTTCGTTTGGCCAAATGCTCGTTTACGGAGTGCTTTTGTGTGCTGGACTCCAGGGCTGGTGCTGGCAATGGAGAGAGAAATTACTTATGTTCTGGCCGGGTGCGGTGGCTCACACCAGGAATCCCAGCACTTCGGGAGGCCGAGGTGGGCGGATCACGAGGTCAGGCGTTCGAGACCAGTCTCCCCAACATAGTGAAACCCGTCTCTGCTAAAAACACAAAAAGTTAGCCGGGTGTGGTGATGTGCGCCTGTAATCCCAGCTACTCGGTAGGCTGAGGCAGGAGAATTGCGTGAACCCGGGAGGCGGAGGTTGCCGTGAGCCGGGATCGCGCCTTTGCACTCCAGCCTGTGCGACAGTGAGAGATTCCGTCTCAAAAAAAAAAAAAAAATTATGTATAATCCTAATTTTAGAGGAGCTTTGGTTTGTTGGGGAGGATAGTCTCGTGAACCATGGATACAATTACATGTGAATGAGTAGGGAGAAGAGGCTGGGAACGGAGCTCCAGGGTCCTAGAGGTAAGCGGTGGGCCAGTGGATCATCTGGACTTTATGAATGATTGATGGAGTGAACCAGACGGGGAGTCTTTACAAGTGATTTGATTGCCCAGGCTCTTGCACTCGGTGAGTGGTGGTGACGACGTTGCCCCGGAGACTAGCAGCGCTGTTACAAGAGGAACCTGGGAAAGACTTTGGCAGGTGTTGAATATCCAATGCCTGTATTTTAGCCTGTAACTCACATGGGAGGTCTAAACTGGAAATATATATAGATACCTTACTATATTCGTGGAAGCTCAGAGTGTGACCAGCTAGAACCCTTAAGAGGACCCAGGTGAGTACACAGGTTAATGAAAGGAAAGGACAGACGGTGAAGAAAGGCTGTTGTGCTAAAGAAATGAGAGAAAGTTAGGGTGGATTTTTTTTTCCCCCTTTGAGTTTGTTCCTTTGTCAGAGATCAGTTGACCATATTTATATGGGTCTATTTCTGGGCTGTTTAGTGCCATTGATCTATTTGTTCTTTCACAGATACAACACTGCCACACTGTCTTGATTTTGTAGCTTTATAAGAAGTCTTTTTTTTTTTTCTCTTTGAGACGGAGTCTTGCTCTGTCATCCAGGCTGAGATGGAGTGCACTAGCACGATCTTGGCTCACCGCAACCTCTGCCTCCTGGTTCAAGCAATTCTCCAATCTCAGCCTCCCGATTAGCTGGGATTACAGCCACATGCCACCCTGTCTAGCTCATTTTTGTCTATTTTGTAGCAATGGGGTTTTGCTGTGTTGCCCAGGCTGGTCTCTATAATGTCTTTTGGTTTTTTTTTTTTTTTTTTTCCAAGGCAGGGTCTCATTCTGTTACCTAGGTTGGAGTGCAGTGTAACAGTTGCAGCTCACTGCAGCCTCAAAGTCCTGGCCTCAAGGGATCCTCCCACCTCAACCTCCTGAGTAGCTGGGATTACAGACACGTGCCACTACATCTGGCTAATTAAAAAAAATTTTTTTTGTACAAATAGGGTCTCATTATGTTGCCCTGACTCATCTCCATCTCTTGGCCTCAAGCACTTCTCCCTCCTTGGCCTCCCAAAGCATTGTTGGGATTACAAGCATGAGCCACCATGCCCAGCCTATAAGTCTTGAAGTCAGGTTAATTCCCCAACTTTATCCTTCTGCTTCAGTATCCTGTCAGCTAATCTAAGTTTTTTGTCTGTCTAAACTTTATAATCACTTCATCAACATCTACAAAATTTGCTGGGATTCTAATTGATACTGCATTGAATCTGTAGATCAAGTTAGGGAAGAGCTGAAGTCTTGAATATTGAGTCTTCCTGTGTGTGAACATGTCATATCTCACTATCTAGTTCTTAGTTTTCATTCAGCAGTGTTTGGTAGTTTTTCTCATATAGATTTTATTTAGTATCGTCAGATATTTTATTAGACTTATACCTAAGTATTTCATTTTTGTGGGTGCTGACTATAAATGGTATTGTGTTTTTTATTTCAAATTCAGCTTACACCTGTGTACAAGAAAGGGATTGACTTTTGTATATTAACTTTGTATCCTGGTATAATCACTTAGTTTCAGGAGATTACAGGTGTGAGCCACGAGTTGAGGAAGATCTTTATTCCTAATATCCTAATTTATATGGTATATCTTTCTCCATTTATTTCCTTTTTTTTTTTTTTTAAGATAGAGTCTCGCTTTGTTGCCCAGGCTGGAGTGCAGTGGTGCAATCATGGCTCACTGCAGCCTTGACCTCCTGGGCTCAAGTGATCCTCCCACTTCAGCCTCCCAAGTAACTGGGACTTACATGTGCATGCCACCACACTAAGCTAATTTTTAAATTTTTTGTTGAGACAGGGTCTTACCATGTTGCCCAGGCTGCTCTTGAACTTCTGGGTTGAAGTAACCCTCCCACTTTGGCCTTCCAAAGTGCTGGGATTGCAGACATGGGCCACTGTGCCCAGCCCTTCTGTGGTTTTAATTGAGCATTTCATATGATTCCATTTTTCTCTTCTTTGTTAGCATATTAGTTATTTTTGTTGTTGGTGTTGTTTTTTTGGGGTTGACCTAGAGGTTGCATTATACATTTACAGTTAATCCAAGCCCAGTTTCAAATAACACTTCTGCTTCACAGTTAGTAATTTTTAATAATTAAATAATATTTCTTCCTTCCCTTCAGGAGTATATTTCTAATAACATTGCTGATATTCATTTCACTTCTGTGTAAGAATACATGCCATACATAATCGAATACATTGTTATTATTTCTTTTTTTTTTTTTTTTCTTTTTTTGAGATGGACTCTCCCTCTGTTGCCAAGGCTGGAGTGCAGTGGCCTGATCTCAGCTCACTGTAACCTCTACTGCCCAGGTTCAAGCGATTCTCTTGCCTCAGCCTCTTGAGTAGCTGGGATTACAGGCGTGCACCACAACACCTGGCTAATTTTTTTTTATTTTTAGTAGAGATGGGGTTTCACCATGTTGGTCAGGCTGGTCTGGAATTCCTGATCTCGTGATCTGGCCGCCTTGGCCTCCCAAAGTGTTGGGATTATAGGTGTGAGCCACCATGTGCGGCCTTGCTGGAACTTTTTAAAGGAATTTTGGATTTGACTTTTTATTTTATTTATTTATTTATTTACAGACCGAGTCTCACTCTGTCGTCCTGGCTGGAGTGCAATGGTGTGATCTTGGCTCACTACAACCTCTGCCTCATTGGTTCAAGCAGTTCTCCTGCCTCAGCCTCCTGAGTAGCTGGGATTACAAGCATGTGTTACCTGGCTAATTTTTTGTATTTTTAGTAGAGATGGGGTTTGACCATGTTGACCAGGCTGATCTCGAACCCCAGACCTCAGATGATCTTCCCGCCTCAGCCTCCCAAAGTGCTGGGATTACAGGCATGTGCCAGCACGCCAGGCCTGGATTTGACATTTTAAAAGCTTAGAAGGCCAAAAGCTAAGCTGAGGATTTGCCACTTGACTGTGCTTAGTAATGCTTGTATGAATTCCTATCTTATTTGATATCCAAAAATACTTCAGAGTTCCTGAGCCTTCTAGAAAGTGACATTCTTTACTTACCACAGGTCTGGAGCCTGTAAGGTGGACAAGGTACCAGGCCAGTCTTTTCAAGGGGCTTTTTATCAGTTATATAAAGCCAACCTAAATTTCTTAAAACAGTCTGGTTCTATCTGAAAATACGCCATTCCATATTGAAGCCTTGATAAAGTAACCAGTCTCTCCACTTGTATCTTTTTACAAAAGAAAACAGATTTTTACTCAACTTATGCAAATAACTGTTGCCATAAAATCAGAATACTCACGAATAGTTTCCAAATTTTGGAGAAATCAGTTAGAAAGGTAAATTTTGTTCACAAAAACATAATTTACCCAGTTGCTTTAAGCTATAAATAACTCAGAAAGATTTTCTTGACTCTTTAATGAGAGCAGCAGGCTTCCAAACAAGGTGTCATTTGTTCACCTTGGAACTGCCGCAATTCACAAATCAAGCAGCTCCTTGTCAGTCAGGTGAGAGCTGTTTACTGGGGACTGTGGAATCCAACCACTGTTTACACAGTTCCAGAGTCAGTGGAATGGAAGCCATGTCTGTCTCAGGCAGCTGCAAGACAAGATGCTGGATCTCCACCAGTTCTCATTTTACTTCTGCTGTTTCTCTTAGTTTTATAATTAGACAACCAGATTTTTACAAATAATGACAATAGTTTTTCTTCCTTGTTGAGTGTTTATTACTGGTACTTTGCTCCTACTTTGGCAGGTCCTCTAGGACAGGGCTGGCTAGTGGCATCGATTTCAGCATCCTTGTCTTGTGTTTCTAAAGGGATGTTTTTTTTTTTTTCTTTTCTTTTTAAGAGATGAGGTTTCTCCATGTTGGCCAGGCTGGTCTCGAACTCCTGACCTCAGGTGATCCGCCTACCTCAGCCTCCCAAAGTGCTGGGTTTACAGGCATGAGCCACTGCTCCCAGCCAAAGGGATGGTTTTAATGGTTCACACAAAATATGATAGTTTCTATAGGTTTAGGAAAGAAAGACTTTATAGTGTCAAGGAAATTCCTTTTACTTTTAGTTTGCTTTAAATTCTGATTTTTGAAAGTGTTGGATTTTTTTTTTTTTTTTTTTTTTTTTTTTTTGAGGGGGAGTCTTGCTCACGTTGCCTGTTGCCAGGCTGGAGTGCAGTGGTATGATCTCGGCTCACTGCAGCCTCCACCTCCTGGGTTCAAGTGATTCTCCTGC